TTAGTGCGGGCGTTCATGAACTTCCAGTCCATGACACACCACACCGACTTGAGAAGCACAAGCATACGAGCAATAAAAGGACCAGGACCAGAACCAGAACCAGAACCAGCAGCTCACCTCACCCTCCTAGCCTCCTAGCCTCCAGTCCTCCCTCAACCAAAATCGCTTCCCTACCTACTTCAAACAGACTCTCAGTCTTAATCGAAAGGGGACGATAAAGACATCGACGGGATTTTGGAACAAGCGCTTGTCTTGGGACAGATAGCTCTGGTACTAGCTTTTTCGCTTCCCTCAGCGTCCGCTGCGTCCGCGAGTTCCAATGCCGAGTGTCACACACAGGCACAGGCACAGGCTCGACATAGGTGGTGAGGGCACTAGCGAGTAGCAAACATGAGAACGGTACCTACTAGTCATGCGGTTTGAACATAAAAGAGAGCGGGGATGGGAGGGACATGAGTTGGAGGAGGCTGGTGGACTTTTATCAACGGGGATTGGCGATAAGGCATATGGGGACGGGGTTGATGATGATGGAGAAGACAGTTAGTTGGTTTTGGGGAGAAAGGGCGAAAGGGAATGCACATGGGGGGCGTGGTTAGTGGTGGTGATGGGTCTGGTGTGATGACGAGATATCGGTGGTGCTAGAGCAGCTAGGACGGATGGCTTTTGGTTGAGCGAGGAGGAAGAGCTGGGTAAGATAAGTACCTCTGAGTATAAGGTAAGTAGGAAGACGCGGAAGGTTGTAAAGGGCTGTGTTGTGGGTATAGACTTCTTTGACGAGATGGCTTTGGTTATACGTTCCTTTATCGCTTGGACTTTCACTTACTAAAGCAAAGTCCCCATGTTTCTTTCTCCTTACTGACCTCATCCCCTTTAGCATTTTGCACTCTGAGCTTAATTAACTACTGAATTCGATGCAAACTATATGGATATCCCCGCCATTCGCTTATTTCAGTATAATCCTTCGCGGTTCAACACCCTCAAACCATGATACATCCATCTGATTAAAATGACCCACCCGGCGGTACGTAATGACACCCTCCTCTTCAAGGACTTCCTTTAGAAGTATCCCCTCCATAGTATCATAATACCTCTCTTTCCTAATAGCCAAACACATCAACACACCACCGCACGTTTCAAGAACATCGATAACATCTGGTAGAAAATCCGCTACTACCCACCCGTTCTTCTTCAACTTTACCCTAAACCAACGACGTCGATCACTTTCTCCATAACTTTCCGGGGATTCTGGGTCTGGATAAGGGTCAACTTCAATCATCCTCGCACCACTCAGGACCAAGACCGCGTCACTAAGCGCCCCATAGACATCCTCGTACTTAGGCTGCACACGCATCTCCTCCACTTTCAACTCATCCCGTATCCGATCCGCTAGAGGTTGAGGTAGACTTTTCTGTCCTTGTTCCTGTCCCTGAGCTAGTGGTCCAGGCTGTTGCTGCTGCTGCCGCCCCATCTTCTTCTTGAACCGAGCAACAAGAGTCCCGCGGTCGTGCCAAACATCTTGTACCCGATCCGCTAGAGGTTGAGGTAGATTTTTCTGTCCTCGTTCCTGTCCCTGAGCTAGTGGTCCAGGCTGCTGCTGCTGCTGCGGCCCCATCTTCTTCTTGAACCGAGCAACAAGAGTCCCGCGGTCGTGCCAAACATCTCGTACCCGATCCGCTAGAGGTTGAGGTAGATTTTTCTGTCCTCGTTCCTGTCCCTGAGCTAGTGGTCCAGGCTGCTGCTGCTGCTGCCGCCTCATCTTCTTCTTGATCCGAACAACAAGAGCATCGCGGTCATACAAAACTTGTCCTCTAACAGATGCCCACGACCAGCTCGGCGCTACGTATTCTGTTGTTGCTGGTCGGCTCCTCATTTGGCTCTCCCGAGTACGGTACGCAACTTGATGCCACAGCAGTCCCTCGGGCAAATGCTCCCTCCACAGCCCAGCGACGTATCCTCCATTAGGAAGATACTCCTCTTTGTAAGCCTGGACCACTCCCGAGAAAGCAATCAGCCTGTCTGTTTCCTGCGTTACTAGTCGAGAGCTGTAATCCTTCACCAGGCTCCACCACCGCCCTTCAAGCCTATACTCCTCAACAGCGGCAGCTGCTAGATCTCTGGTTTTGGGGCTGTCTTGTATCTGCACCCATTCGTCCAATCCGCCCGTGTCCAAAACCGTCACACTCGGCGGTCCCTCTTCCGTGTCCTGCCACGGCAGTTGCGCCGTTGCCTTGAGCTCGCCACACTCCCACAGCAATCCCGCATCGCCAAAGTGGATTGTCCTTTGCGATAACACTCGTTCCTGGAATCCCCATGCGCGGAAGCGAAGGGGATTCATGTCGTAGACGTCTGCCATGTAGGCAGTTCCCGAGTACCGTATCGACCACTCGAGTGATGGTGCGCCCAAGAAAATGCGGTATTGGGATTGGGGTGAACTGATGTTGGCATCACAGTCATCGTTTGTAGTTGTTGCACTAAAGTCGACAAACGAGCAATACTCGTCTTGGATGTCGAATTGTTGTAAACCCTCGCTGGCGTCTTTGGAGCTGAGAGCAGCTAGGGTGCAGTAAGCATAAGAGTACACCTTGGCCATTAAGCTGGCTTCTCTGGCCCAGTCTTGCTCCGAGTCTTGGATGATGCAGAGGGAATCGATCCAGAGGTATCGTTGGCCTAGTTTTCGGGCGATGTCGACTGCATCTTGAAAGGTTTTTGGAAGATCAGAAAACGAGATTCTGCTCATTCGGTTTGAAAGATTTGCCTTGGTTGTTGTGGCTGGACGCTTAGAGGGTGGTCCCCAGCAGTGGCTCAAGGAGATGTAGGACGGGAGCTCCTCAAACTCATTCGAGTCGAGGCAGACTAGTTTGACATCGTCCCCGAGGTTTGGCGCTTCACTACATTTGAACGCTTCAACATCCAGGAGTCTGGTGGGCAAAAAGTCCTTTGACTTGTTCTTGCATTTTGTGTGATTCCGTTGGCAGTGATCCAACCAGTCCTTCATGAGCATAACGTTGGATTCCGCATTGTTCTCTTTGTACCCTGTGAAGGGTAAGAACTTGGGGCCTACATGGGAGAGCGTGGGTGCTGTGAGTGACTATGAAGCGAAGCGTTCCCAACAATTAGACACGAAAGAGAATGTCACTTACACCATGAAGATGGAGCAGGATAAACAGACCCGAGAAAGATGCCATCGTGATTTACACACCTAAAGGTGAAGAACAAGTGTCTGTAATTCAGACCCCTCCGGAACGTCAGCGGGGTATTCGAAAGCGTCTCGGCGTCTCTGAGATTGATGTTTGGATCGTGTTGTGCAAGGTCCCGCGGACTTGTAGACCCTAGACCGCGGCTCGTGATCATCTTGCATAGGTCGCATCCATTTTCCTTTGCTTCAGATTCCATATCTTTCCACGATCGCAGTGTGATTTCAGCATGGTTCATGGCGTATTTCTTCTCCCAGTTATGGCTCCGTACGGGTTTCACCCAAGAGAGGGACCCAAGCCAGGTGGGAACCTGGGAGCAGACGTCGCAAAGTTTTGGAGCCATTTTGAAGCTCAATGTATGTCGAGGAGGCTTTGCAGTCGGCGATCAGGGAGGTTTCGTCCAAGGGTTTATTATTCAAGACGTTTTTCGAAAGTCTCAGAAGAGCAGGCTGTGGTGACCATGTTGAACTCCAGGCAGGCTTCCGCGAACTCCAATAGCCAAGAGATACGGATGCCTGATCCAGGAGGGGACCAATGACAGTATGACACTCCAAATAGGCGCCGATGCTACGCTCCCCCATTGTGACAGTAGTGTAAAAAGAAGGTAAACAGAAAGAACAGCGGGCAAAATGTCAAAAAGAAAAGGTCGTACCCGGAATCGAACCGGGGTTGCCGGAACGTTCTGAAGCAATCAGAATCCGGAGTGATAACCGCTACACTATACAACCTTTTGAGTTGTGCTGTTATTGTTGTGCGTGTGCTGGGATGCACTCTCATAAAGTTCGGGTGAGGCAATTCGGAGCTTTTTCTAGAGAGGTGGGGCAGTTGTGGTGGGGCTGTGGGCATTGGTTGGGCCGTGGGCGTCATGCAGCATGCTTGGGAAAAGCCGCAGGTGAGGTGCCCGCCCCGAGCTCGCTGGAAGCACATGATGTCTGTCGGTCAAATTCGACGTCGCTTTCTGTTGGAGTACCACTAAAAGGCACGGCGACGATGGCAAAGGTGTTGATTTTAATAGAAAGTAGTGGTAGTAACGGGTAAGAAAAGGAAAAAACCAGGCCAGCCTACAAAGGTACTGTACCCAGGACGGGAGCGCCGGTGAATGGAACATAATGACTCTGTCGGGCGAAAAAGGGTGTGATCAATTGAATGGATTCAGAAGTGTGTAGAAGATGGGGAGAACAAGAAGACAAGTTCCTATTCTAAGGCCTGGGGATGTCAGACGGATTGTTAAGTACAAGACAGGAATTCTCGTGTCCAACCTTTTTCCCTATCAGGTACCGGCCCTATCTGTGCATACATAGAGGTAGCTTCCTTCCTTCTACATCTCGTCTGTATGTGCCTTCCCAAACTTGAGCCTCACATTATGCTCCTTCGTGTCGTGACAGCCTGTGAAACAGGCTGAACAACACAACGAAAGGAATCAATGATGATGGTGATGTATTGAGTTGGTAGAAAAGAGAGGGAGACTCTACGAGTCTGGAGGTCTAGAAATGAGGGAGAGGGAGCCCTGTGCGGTGGAGCCATGGCTAGCGCCATGGCTAGCGCGGCACGTGACTGGCTCACCTCCAACACAGCCCCTTCCTAATACGTACTGGCATGTTGTGCTTTCTGTAATCTACAATGACTCCTTCCCTCCTAAAAAAAAAAAGAGACAGAGATCACGAGCAAGGAAGGTTACTGTAATGAAACCCCCCCCCCTCCCCCCTTAAAAAAAACCGTGAGAAAAAGAAAACAAGAGGAATGAGCAAAGCATGTAAGGAAAAAGACAAAAAAAGAAAAATCAAGACAAAAAAAGATAAAAAAAAGAGGTCGTACCCGGAATCGAACCGGGGTTGCCGGAATCCTTCTTCTAAATTAGGGAGACTCAGAATCCGGAGTGATAACCGCTACACTATACAACCATTTGTTGTTGTTCTTAGTTGATGTTAGGGCTCCAACATAGTATCTATATAACACAAAGCAAAGCAAAGTCACAAGTGGAACATTCAGTGAGTATCCCATCACCACTGCACCCACCGTTTTTCTTTCTTCAAATATCACTCGCGAGAAGCACCTCAGTCCCTCCGGTCACCAAATAATTTATCAGCGTTAATATCAATGTCATGTAGATGCTTCAGAACAAATATCTCTTCACTTAATCATATTGCAATGTCAAAGACATCTGAACTTGGCTCCAGATAATTTTGCTTTCTCTCTCTTTCTTAAAAAGCAACGCGATCAGCTTCTTCCGCCTTCCACTTTCTCTCTCCTCCCGAGCGCGGTCTTCGATACTCTTACTCTTTTCGAAGTCGTTCGGTAATATTCGATACCTCAGATCCCATCCCATCCCATCGATGGAACCCACCATATGCTCATGCTATCTATGCATCCCAAACAAACGATAAGAAAACCAGCATTATGTACTTGTGCGTAACGTAACCACAAAGAAAGAAGAGACTGAAAAAAACGCTGTCTACGAACGTTCTATCGCCGAACCAGATCACCGATCAAAGAAATAATATAAAATAAAAAATCACCGCCTCCCCCTTCTGGGATCCAACGCCTCCGCCCTCCTCGCATCCCTGATCTCCTTGGTTCCCAAACTTCCCAGTCCGCCTTCCATCCTCCTCTCCCACCCGCCGAGCCTGACCACAAGACACGTAGCATTATCTCCATCTTTCGACACCTCCGTCGCATACTCGACAACATGTTTGGCTCCTTCCTCGGGCGTCTTGGCCTCTTTAATCACGTCCACGATCTCCTGATCGCTCAGCGTGCCGCTCACACCGTCGCTCATGAGCACCAGAAACGAGTACTCGGCCGGCTCCATGTGCACCCGAACGATATCCGGCTCGGCCGACACGCCGATGCGCTTGGATTGCATGTCGCCAAAGGCGCGGGAGTTGGCGAGGCCCGAGATGCGTTCCTCGCCAAAGGAGTCGGTGACTAGCGACTCGGCGTAGCGCATCAGGCGACGGGTCTCGGTGGGGCTGGACGGGTGGTGGTCGTGGGTTAACGGGCGAGGAAGACCGGTGGCTGTTTCGCAGAGCAGGACTCTAGTGTCGCCTACGTGGGCTACCAGTAAAGTGCTGTGTGCGGCCGGGTGCCAGAAGGGTGCGGGGGTGGGAGTGGCGATCAGGGCGATCGAGGCCGTGGAGCCGCCCTTAAAGCGCGCGGTGCCGCCGATGCCGTGCCCGGAAGGCGGGAGGTGCGGCTGGCCGAGGACCTCGTCCTTGTTGACGGGGTAGTCGGCAATGTGAGGGTCGTCGGGGTCGGGCTTGCGGGCTTGGGCGGTGATGAAGTCGAGGTCGGCGCGGAGGAAGGCGTAGGTGAGCACGGACTCGACGGTTACGGGCGTGGTGACGGGGGTTTCGTCGATTTGCTGCTGGAGCCTGTTCTTGAGGGTGTTGTCGTCCATGGAGGAGGCGGCGTCAGAACCCGAGTAGCGGGCCCGGGTGGCCGCTCGTTCGGAAAAGTAGCGGCAGGTGAAGCGGCGGAAGTAACCTCCTACTGTGTTGCGGTATTCGCCTAGAAGTTTTGTCTCAAGCTCTTCGGCTTTGGCTTCGTCTGCTGCTGCTGGTACGGGATCGTCTCCGTCAGGGGGCGGTTCATGGGAAGCTTCTTGGACGACGGCATTGCCCTTTGTTGCCGGTACATTGAGTTGATGCTGGACTTGTTCGGGGCTCTTCATGTCGACTCGATCAAGTGCGTCTCTGCTGCTCCTGGGGGCACTTCCCGACGTTTCCGTTGGATTACTCAAGCTAGTATCCAGGCTTGTGCCCTGATGTTGTAAACTACTCGGGAGGCCAAAGTCCAGTGCTGCCTGCTCGATATAGCCATGTAGCTCGTCCCTTAGGAACTCGCTGCACTCGGTGCCGCCATGGCCGTCAAAGACACCAAAGTAGAAGATCTGGGGGTCTCCAAAGGAGCTGTTGGCGGTGGTGTTCTCGGTAAGAGACCGCGACTGCCGGCGAACGAGGCTCATGGGGGCTCGCTTGGCGAATGACGGCATGCTGATGGTGCCAGCCTGGTTTGTATCTTCATTGTAGTTACGCTGGCCGCGAGAGACGAACGCGCCAAAATGGTGTTTTGCGCTCCGTAGCGGGATTCGGACGACGGTGAGGTCGCGGCCGGGCATGTTGGGAGGTACGGCAGCAGGAGCAGCTCCGGGACCCTGCTTGTGTGGTACTGATGCCGATCGCGGGAGCTTATGGTGGGAATCAGGATGTAGGGAGGACGACGGCAGATGGGTGACGAAGTAATTGTGGAACTTGCGCTTCGAGGATCGATCGGTGGTGAGGCTATGGCTTCGGAAGCGGTCGCAAAGGTCGCCGGTGCTTGCTGTCGAGCTGAGTGAGGTTCTTGAAGGTCGTGCATATGCATGGAGGTAGCGTCTACCGACTGCAGAGCGCAGGACCCGCGGCGGGCCGGGCATCGTTACTCGTCTCATGGGAGAATGGTGGAAGAAGGTGGAGAGATATCCCATAAAAGCATCCAGCAGTTCGGTGTCGTAGGCAGCTCTGGGAGCTTGTTTCGGAGGAGCAGCGGCTGAGATAAGGTCGAGGTGTTGGAGAGCAGATACAAGAGACTGGGTAGGGGGACGACGGCGCACAGCGGCCATTGCCTATCTGAGCTGCTCTGAAGGTAAGGTGACGACGACGACCTCTAGAGGTAGGGAAAGACGGAGAGAACAAGCGAGATTAGAAAATTTGCATCTACTCTGCTGAGCATCCCTCGAACGGTGGGAAAGAGGAGACGGGGAGATGCTAGAAAAAAAAAAGACAAAAAAGAGGAAACCGGCCGAAAAGGTTGACGTCGGTGTCTTGGTCGGGGTGGGCTTGTCTTGGGCCGTCCAGTTAGGTAGCGGTCTCGGCCGCGTGCTATATTACCTAATCTTCACTTGTTACTGAAATTTTCACTGCTAGCCACTAGTACGCCAACCATCTATATATGACAGGAAACAAGCAAACACCTTGATTATTTGATTTGATTCTCCAGGATGTGTGAACACAAAGAAGGCAAACAAATCTGGAAAGGGGGCTCTCTTTTCCATCTGCTGGACGAGACAAGACATGGTCCAGATCCGATCTCGGAAGGCCCGGTCTGAAGCATGATCTGAAGCTGTACAAAAAAGAGCAACACAAAGCGCGGTAATTACCAGTATGAGTTCGGTCAAATTGTGAGTTGGGTACCTTGCAGGAAACGCCATCTCTACCTAGCTTCCGTTGCTTCAAATGCTTCAAGGCACAGCGGCACTGACAGCGCATCTAGGTATCCTGCACAGCTGCACTAACAATTTCGCCTTCCTGGATTACTAACCTCCCTCCCTCCTTGCAGACTTGTCAACAACCACTGGACTCTATGGACATTTCTGTTTCTCCCGTCAAGTGAAGAGTTGGGCTCGTGGCGTTTTCGTCTCGGCGAATCACAAGTGAGTAGAAAGATGAAGCGTCACGGTTTATTTATGAGTTCAATCTCAAATTGTTATTTCATGCACCTTTTCCCTCTTGATCAGGCGTGCTAGCGTGAATGATGTTCTGTGACAAGACCAACTTGTACTGATCACGTTCGTAGTCTTTGATATCAGGCATCGACGACAACTGCTTGGAGTATTGAGTGCAACAATTCACCTTCGAAGAGGTCGGGTGCTCTTGAATGGATTGAATTTTACTGTTTGGGATCCCCCTTTTCCGAATGTTTGAAGGATCCGATATAGATAGACGAGATCCCAAACCCACCATGTCAACACCTACCAAACCACCACCCCTCAACAGCGGTGCCGGCATCGCCCCTTCACATCTCGAAATCATCGACATCGTCCCCGACGGCGACATAATTCTAGACGTAACCTTCGAGACCTCCAAACCCGTCATCCTCGCCGCCAAGAAAGCCTTCGCCGCCGCCTCTTCGCGCCCAACTCCTCGGACCAGCAACAAGACAACACCTGGACAAGGACCCGCAAAGACACCCGTAAGACCACCAAGACCACCACCCAAGCCCAGAGTCAGGGTCGGCTTCCGAGTCCATCTATCCGTGCTGAAGGAGCACTCACCCTACTTTGCCCGTCTGCTGTCAGACACGCGTTTTGCAGAAGCCAAAGCTGTCGAGGCGGCGTTTGCCAAGCTTTCGCTGGAAAACGTCAGTCCTGGAGACGCGGACTGGACTCAGCTGCCGAGGGTGAGCATCCGTGAAGATGACGAGGCTACGCAGAGTGCCGAGCTGAGGTACGTCTTTCATGATTTGCTGTATATACTGCATCATGGGGGTTTGCCGGTACCACCAGCAACAGACGTAGACGTAACACCGCCGGTAGAGCCTCCAGCACAAGTACTACCGACCGAGCCCAAGGCAGCAGCACCAGCACCTACACCAAAGTCAGTATTCAAACCTGCAACCAAGACAGCCACGCCGGTAAAGGGCCAAAGACCTGGTGGTCAAACCCCAGGCAAGAAGACACCTGCCAACACACCAGCCAAAGCCCAGCCAAACGGCCTGAAAAAGCCTCTGGAAAAGACGCCACCAAAGCTAGGGGTAGACGAACCGAAACAACCATCCGCACCTCCCCTCACAATACCCTACCTAATCACCCTCTCCCTCCTCGCCGACCGCTTCTCCTGCACCTCCTCCCTCTCCCGTCTCGTCTCCTCCTCCCTCTCCACCAGTTCTAGCTCCCCCCTCACCCCCCAGATCCCAATCAAATGGCCCCCCACGCCCACCCGCATTACAAAGGACCAAGACGGCCACGCCCTCACACTGGCCGGGGAAGAGCTCCTCCGGCAAAAGATATTGGTTTCCTGGCTGCTGGATTTCCCCCTCAAGTTTCAGGCTGCCACTCGGGAGTTGATCATGTACGGGAGCAGACGGTGGACACTTTCTGCCACTCCCGAAGACCAAGACGAGGAGGAAAAAGAGGACGGTGACG